GAAACCTTTACTTTTGATCTATTTATCATTAATATTTGTTTACTTTACCGGAATCATAAACTAGAAGTCTAATCATAATTTATATTATAATCAGTTATTTTTGTATAGAAGATTTGAGTACTCATCTTTATTCGACTAAATTAATATACTCGATTTGATAGTAAATTAATATACTCAATTAAAAGAAACAGATTTATAAAAATAATTCATCTTTCCAGATAAAATTATTTTTAAAATTGTTTCTTTCTCTAATGTAATATCAATAATATAGTTTTTACTGTTATTTATTATTTGGAGTATCAACATCATTTTTTTAACAGAAAATATAAAATTATAAATAAATATTATAATATTAATATAAAAAATATCAATTAAAAAATAACATATAAATTTATAAATTCTACTATGACTATTAACGTTTTGTTTTTTGACAAATATCGTTAAGATATGATAAATAATTTTTTACTGACATTTGCGTTAACTCTTATAAATTTGAAATAGGTCTAACGAAAATCATAGAAACTATTAAGGTTTTCATGTAATGTAATGTGAAATATCAATTTGGTTGGGTAAGGATCCCCTAGGTATCTCTAAGTTTTATTTTGAAAAAATTTCAGAGATTTATCAAATCGGGTTATGATATATAATCATTTATTTACAACTACAACTCCTATTATGAATAATGTATTGGTTGATGATAGATCTTTCACGTATAAAAAAATTAAAAAATAAATTTAATAAGATACAAATTGAGCTAAATGAAAGACTCAATAAATGAGTCTCTAACTCTTATTTATATGAATTAAAAATTAATTAATTTTATACGGGTTGTTAAATCAATATTATTGTAATAAAATATACATAGAATAAAAATATGATATAATTTTTAAGAATAAAAGAGATCAAATCTTAGTTCGTAAAATCAATAATATAATGACTTAAATTGTAAAAATATAAATAAAAAAGTCACATGATTAGTATTGTATTTTATTAGTTTAATTTAAATAGATAGCTATAAAATTTTAATACTGATGAGATTATAAAGATTTTATATTGTACCAATTTTTATTGTGAAATATTTATTAATCTAAATATATAATTATGGGATTTCTAATATTAACTAAATTTCTTTTATTGTTTAAAACTATATTTACTAGATTATGGTTGACCATATTTTTCAAATACCCATAGATTAACCAAAAGTTGAACTCTATCGTCGAATCGTAAAATTTTTAAAAATATTATTACGATGTTCCACATTCGAACTATTAATTCTATAATATAACCGACGAAAATATAAACATGGAAATTATTCATAACTTTATTTCAAAAAAATATAATATTATCCTATGTTACACTTAAAAACATCTCATTTACAAATATAATTATAAAATAAAAAATAAAATATATTGTATTTGATTATAAAATAAACACTATTTTTTTAAAAAAAAATTAAAAGTAATTTTAGTCTGCGCTATACGCGCTATATATAACACGTAAGTCTTCACAGTTGCCATTTCTCTGCTTCCTCTCTACTTCACTCGTTTTTCTTCCGAAAGAATGACGAGATCCTCTGTCTCTTCTCCGCCTTCGTCGAACGATCAGAGGAAGAAGTCGAGTTTCCAAAGGAGACAGCTGACGGTGATGAAGAAGGCCGAAGAACTCTCGACTCTCTGTGGAACCCAAGTGGCCGTTATCTGTTACGGAAAAGACGGAGAGCTTCAGACATGGCCCAGAGATTTGTCCAAGGTGAGAGAATTGGCCGTCAATTACATGAAACAGAACGACACCAAGAAACGAAAGAAATCCCTGAATTTGTCCGAACTTCGGGGGAAGGCAGAGAAGGGTTGTTTACCAAAAACGAAGTCAGAGAAGGGTTTCGAACTCAATACCCAAAAGCTCCATGCTTTGTCTGCTGAAAAATTGTCGGAGCTCGGGGATAATTTGGGACGCGAGATGAAGACTCTTCAGGAGAGGCTTCGGTTTCTGGGAACGCAAAAACAGAAGAAGAATGCCGAGGAAAACCAAAGCAGAAACCTTTGTCGCGATCAAGAAAATCAAGAACCTGCGATTCCATCGGGTCTCCAAGGAAACCACCAGGCATTTATGTTGTCGGATGCGCCCTTCGATTACCTCAGCGAAACCTGGCTTTCTAATTCTGAGTTTTTGGGGACGGAGATCAGTGGCCAAATTGGCAACAACGGCTAGTTTGATTGTTGTTTTGGAACTTTTCTAGTGCTAATTTGCTCTTCTGTAAGGTTTTCTGGTAGGGTTTTGCTACAGTATTACTCCGTTGTTCGGCTTAAGTTAGATGAAATCTGGGAAATTGGAGAAGTTATGTTCTGCCTTCTCTCTCTCTTTTTAATTTTTTTTTTTGTTAAACATCAAGCTAATTTTGGAATACTTCCTTCTCTTGGAAAGTTAGATCTTTCTCTGTTTGAACTGCCCCCAATACTTCTTGCAAAGGCATGTTCAAATGGCTGCAGAGATTAAAAATCTCGACACAGACTTGCAGATGCTAGAGAGGGAGAGAGAGAATGGGACTGATGACGAGGTGGGTATCTCCGAAGAAGCGGGCCACAGGTAAGAAGAAGGAAGAAGATACTGTCTCTTTTGCAGCTATTTTCGTGGCTATTTCAGCGACTAGGCCTCGTGCTGATGTGGCATATTGCATCCATGCTCTGTCAAGGCGATTATCGAGAACACATAACTGGGCGGTATCATATGATCTCACTTTCGTATCTGTCTTGACTTTTGTCTACTTTGCATTTTCTTTGGTTACTTGCTTGAAATGTTGTAATGCATTCATAAACTAATGAATCAATACAAAGTCAAATGTCATATCACGGATCATCCTAGAGCATTACAACCAACAAAATCTGGTTTCCAAAATCCAAAACTGTTTTTGCGTGTGTTTTGTTGCGTGGATTTTGAGATTTTGGGGTTGAGAAGAAGGGGATGCAGTGATGAATAAATGGAATGTGGACTAGAGTTTCAAATCTAGATTTCTTCCCCAGAAGTTGAAGATCAAAACCTTGGTTGTCTGAGTACTCCCTTTTTTATATCCAGTTTCTGTGTTGCCCATTATCGTATATGGGTATGGCCTGTGATGATAAAATAACTATCTTAGCGGATTTTATTGAGGTTTTCAATCAATGATCTAAAATAACTATCTCTGGCATCGTTGTTCTCCGCCGATGCCTCTCTGGCTCTCGGGATGGGGAAGATATGCGAGAACTCATTGTCATGAAGATGTTAAGGCCATGGCAGCCTTTGAATACATCCGCAAATTCAAGTTGCTCCAAAATGCATGGAGTGTTGAGATATACCGGATCTTGAAGAATATTACGAGATATATCGTATATTGGAGATCTTATCAAATCCGGAAAATATATATTTAGAAATATTTATTATTATGTCTACTTTACTTATTCAATGTAAGACTCTCATCTATTTATATGTTATTTTGATTATCAATAAAAGAAATCATTCTGCAAATTTCTACATGGTATCAGAGCCTGGTTCTTTTCTAATTTTTTTTTCTTCATAAAAATGATGATCGATAATGAGAGTGAAGATGAAGATGATGATATACCGATCCAGTGGTAATATCATTTTGAGTTTTTTTTATTAAGAATAAGAGAGTCATTTTGTTTTTTGTTTTTGTTTTCTTATTTTCTCTCATAATCCCACATGTTTCTAAAGATTATTCGCATAGCTGCCTATCATCTTATTCTTGCCAAAAAAATTTGTTGTCATTAAACGCTTTCGCGTAGTTGCCTTTCAATCTCGGATGAATCAGAGTTATTCCCGAGACTTCTTTCTGCACCGCGATTGTCGTCCTTTTTTTGTTATCATCAAACGATTCTTTTGTGCGTGGTGCCAAAGTTGCAGCGCAGTCGTTTGTTTGATTTTTTTTAAGTTATTCTTCTAAGACACAAGTTCGCAAGGTGATGTCGTTTAAGCGGCATGCGTTTGATCATCTTTTCAGCAAGTTGGGCGTTTTGTGATCTTCCACGCTCCAACTTGAAGGGGGATGTTGAGATATACCGGATCTTGAAGAATATTACGAGATATATCGTATATTGGAGATCTTATTAAATCCGAAAAATATATATTTAGAAATATTTATCATTATGTCTATTTTACTTATTTAATGTAAGACTCTCATCTATTTATATGTTATTTTGATTATCAATAAAA